CTTTATTTGAGCCACTGTTGGATTAACCCTCAAAGGTGCTGGTTCAACTCCGATATCGGTGATCTCCCATAAGTCATAAGCTTTGAGATACTCTTTCATTTTAGCAACCCAGAAGTTGTAGGTTTCTTCATTGAAGGTAGATGGTAGTGGTACTGAAAAACCAGTTGAAGCCATTTTCCTTCCTGTCAAATTTTGATGATTGTTTCTTTGTTATCTTCTTCTTCTCTTCTTCTTTAGAGTCCTTTTATAAGATCAATCAAGCTCTGATGCCATGTTGGGATTTATGAATCAAATAGTGGAACTCACCAGTTTTACAATATGCTAACCGGATTTAACACTCCTAACTGTTTAGTTCAACTCACCGGATATACACTCAACTTAATGGATATTCACTATGCTTACCGCATATGCGAAGACACTTACCGAATTTACCAAAGGAAACTCCGTTTTTGTAAAAAATAGAGTGCTTACCGGATATGCAACACTCTTACTGTATATGCACTCTTCTCACCGTATATGTTAAATGCTTACCGGAATTATAACTATCAGATTTCGTTTTTAACAAGGAAGAATTACTCTATTCGATAGAAAAATTAAGAAAGAAGATGGAAGCATATTTTCATTCCAATACATGTTGAATTTATAGACTTACAAAGACGCATTTTCCACTTCTTAGTCTAACAAACCATCTACGTTAAAGATCTGACTAAGATAACTTTTACAAAGATAAAGTTATCCATTTGAACACTTAAACTTAAGACTTAAGCTACAAAATATCTAGCCTACTAAAAACAAGAAATGTGAAAGTAAGAATGTCAACTATATTCAACAGTATAAAAATTACTTTTAACTTAGTAAGGGGGACCTAAAGCATTATACAACTCACTCATTTCAAAATTGACTCCACTATGAAAAATATTCCCCATGGCATATAACTTTTACAACCAGTCTTTTAGTAGAAGTAATATTCTCTAGGTCATCAAAGACTTACCAAGTATCAAATATAATTAGTGCTCATGTGATAATTGATTTCTCTACTTGATGACCATATTAATCTAAGTAACATACATTATTAGTATACGCACAGTAATTAACGTCTCTGCTCAATTTTTGTACCTAGCTAACAAACTTAGTGCAATGTACCATTAGAAATACTTTTATTTACACGTATTTTTCCTAAGTTACCCTTCTAAATTATTATCAAAGCTTTTACAATTCTGATTTCTCAACTCGATCACTGTACGTGTCGTACCAAATGTTCGTACAGCAACTAATTTCTTAGCTCGATGATTGTATTAGTTTAAACAGGTTCAAAATACATTATTATCTCTATAGGAATAAACTTCTCAGCTCAATCACCGTACCAAACTAATCAATTGTAAAGTACCATTAGTATCACAACTACTTAGAAGGGAGGAAAGAGCTTAATGGACTGACTGCACGCTGTTCTAATCGCACCACTTTCAGCAATTGATAACAATCACCTGCTTGATAAGATCATGTCGAGCGATTTAGTAATTTGTACCAAATTTAAGGACTGCATTTTTTCTCTCTCTCATTCATTTCATACTTAACTGTCACCTTCTATTCCCTGTGATGCCGAGACTCGGGTACGGGTATTGGGCACGGGTACATATCTAAGAATTGGATCTTTTATTTTCTAAAATGTGGTATATGGGGACACAGCTAGAAAAGTCTAAATTTCGGACATAGGTACATGGGTTCGTCTTTCAAACTTCAATTTTATCTTTTAGATTTTATTTTTACTTTGATATTACAATATTTTTTGAATTAAAAATGATGAATTGAAAAAAAATAATTTAAAAAGGATTAATTGTATTATATGAATATTTTATTAAACTAAAATATTCGTAGTGTAAAATTATTAGCCCTCTCATGACCATATTAAAAATGGCCCAGGCTCCAATTAAACCCAAATCTCCTCCCGCGCTCCCTTCTTCTTCTTCTTCTTCTTCTTCTTCTTCTTCTTCATTTTGGAGCAAAGACCATCAGCGCCAACCTGCTATTTCTTTATAGACATCTTCCATCTCCAGCCATACTATTGGTGAGGTAAATCTACAAATTTTCTAAAGATTTCTTACCATGTTTGGTTGAAACTTGAAGAATCCAATCTATATTCCGTAGCCGTAGCCATGTCGTGTCAACATGAGTACTCAGGCCGGAATGGAGAGTCCGAGCATTACTATCTATTCCTACCTTCATTCAAGGAAAAGATGTTTCTCTCTTTATATAAAACTAATGGTTTTATATAATACTATTCCAAATCTTTAAGAAGTCGCGTCCCAAGGCCAAAAAGTGACAAATAGAAGAAATCTAGAAATTGGTGTTTCTTTCATGGAATTTTGTTTTTTAAATTTGGGAAGTGCCACCCTTGTTAATAAAGACCAAGAAATTGTGAATTCTATGTCTGCGGGTTTGTACGTCTGCTTTTAATGAAAAAATAACATATGTGTAATGTTTTACTTGTATGTTACGTTTTAAATTATAATTTTTTGCAGCATTTTCCAATCTATATTTTTTAGACACAAAAATATCGGTGTTCTTAAAAAGCTTGTATAAGTGGCGCCTATGCTTGGGGCTCGGGCAAAATGCTACGCCCCGGCAACGAGCTCCTAGTAGTAATTTATTAATTTGTTCTTATTTTTTACCTTTTTAAAAGCCTTTTATTTGAATTTAGTTTTAAGTTTTTAAATGACTTTATCTGTACAAAAGTAAAAAAAAAAAAAGAAATGTGTTATAAAATTTCGAGGAATAATGCTATTTATCATTATGAAAAAGGAAAATCGGTGATATGGCATTCTATGTGGAAAATGGAATTTAGCAGTTCAATTTTCATAAAAAAGAGAGAAATATGAGGGATAATGAATTACTACATCACCGATGTTCCAACATCGTGACGATAAATAGAATTACTGAATTTCAAGTGGGACTTATCTAGTTGAAAGTTCAAGCTATGAAAAATAGTTTAGCTTTTGCATTTCAAAAATTTGAAAATTGTAGGAATTATTAAGTACATATAGTATTTTATAATTTTAGATGTTTGATATTTATTATTTTAATTATTAAATGATTTTTAAAATAATTAAGAATTTAAAATAAGAAAACATATCTTTATGCCTAGGCCTCATCTAGTTTGAAGATTGGATTACACGCCTAGCCACACTTTACGTTTTTCATAACATTGAAAAATATTAATTCTCTAAGAACAATTATAGCCCACTACTGGTTATTAATCCATTAACTTTTGTTCGCCAATTATTATATTTGAGTTGCTCAGCCATATTTAATAATTATCATGACAACTCAAAGGTTTATTTAGTTGATATCTTCTTTTGGATTAATAAGTGTATCAGAGTGTCATAACCAATTGGATCACATGAAGTGGTAGATGGTCGGTACGGATCCAATGGAGTGGTGTTAGAATTCAAACTTTACCATTTCATTACATACCATGCTATTTTCTATAAATGGATAAGTACAGATGTATTAGTAGTGAATGTCAATGTTGATTAACACGTGTATCAACTTGTGATGCATCGGATAGTTGGGCCTAAATTAGCCTATCAGATCACATGAAAGTGGTTATGGATCCAACACATAACTACATTTATTCACTTGCTATGCTCAATCCTAAAATGCACATTTGAATAGTATCTGAGCTCATACTTGACTGACTTTTTATTTCAGTCATCGTACGAGGCTAACCAAATGTCAAATATAATTAGTGCTTGTACAGTAATAGACTTGAGAACTTGGTGACCGTATTAATCTAACTACCATTAATTTCTTTATGATAACTGATCGCTTAACTCATCACCATATATAATTAACGAAGAGAAAAGTAAAATTAGGAATCTCAATATACATGCAATGTGATACTTAACAATGCATTTATGTACTCTCGTTTATTCTTACATTATTCCTAATATACAAGTATCAAATATAATTAGATTCTATATCGAAAATCATATAAGTCTAACTAAATTTCAAATACATTAATATGTCAATGGTAACAGACCTCTAAACTTAATCAGTATACCAAACTAGTGAAATGTAAAGTTCAATTAGTATCCCAACTACTTATAAAGGAGAAGGTTAAAAAAAAATAAAAATAAATAAATAGCTCAATGGACCAACTCTACCGCTGTTGTAATCAGACAAATTTCAGCCATTGATCACAATCATCTGCTTGATAAACCATGTGGGAGATTTACTTTTTCCATTCAGTGC